TCGACGAGCAGGGAGCGCTCACACGTCCACCACCATCTTTTTGTGTATATCGAGACCGCCGACCACCTGGAGGAGAGGGAGGAAGGCAAAAGATAATACATTTATTATTCTAGTCAGATCAGCAGAATCCTGGTTCTCTGTCTACCTTGTGTGTTTTTTGTGGGTGAAGCAGGTTTCAAATGACACATGCGGAAAGTTTTTTTAAACGTTTTCAGGTTAAAATGATATCTTATAACCTTTTTTGTGCCATGCAAAAGAGCAGTGATGAAAGGGGACCTATCATGCAAAATGCCCTTTTTGATGCCTTTTATGCATTAAGATGTGTCCCCGGTGTGTCGGGGAACTCACGCAGCGTCAGAAAATAAAACCCTCTCTCTTTTCCTCCGTACCCAAATCTCTAAAAACGGGGCTACAACGGAGCTGATCCAGATTTGCGTCCGATATGACGTAATATCTGAAATGTGGACCCACGGCCCTATCAGAAACGTTGCTATCAGAAACAATGCCCGACTGTTTTGGACGTAATATGGTCGGTGTTTACATTAGCATCGCTAACACTCAGAGCTAACCTGTACTGGAGAGCATGTGTGTGAAGAAGCAGGAAGTAAAAAGGAACTCACCTTGTGGTATAACCGGCAAGAGAGAAAGCCTTTGAGCTCCATACTGTTTCAGAAATAATCCTTGATAATCCATGATATGGTGTTTCATCACGGCAGTATTTAGTTTAGACAGTAGCTGCCGGGTCCCGCATGAGCTCAGACCCCTCCTTTTTTTTTTTCATAATTTTTTTTTTTTTTAAAGCTTTATACCCCAAATCAGCACTTTAGAAACAGGAAGTGAAATAGAGGGATATGAGGCATGGCTAGAATGGGTGGTCTGTTTGGTGTTTTGAGCAAAACACTTCATAGACATGTTTTTTATGTATTTTTATATATCTGAGACCTATGCTATTGCCTAAAAATAGCATGATAGGTGACCTTTAAAGTCTCTTTGGAAAGCATATCCTCATTTTATCTGAAATGAATTTATTAATGTTATAATGTTTTGTTTACTATTTAAATGTTGCCCTTCATGAAATTCATCATTCATTAAGAATTAATACTTTTACATTTGATTTTATCTATGATGCACTTTGTACTTAAAACTTATAAATACAGTTTCATATTATTATTATTATACCTTTTTTAATCAATATGTATTATTAGTTTGTACTACATCTATATACTGTGGTTCTTTTTGCTATAATATTCAAAATTGTCCCGGTTTGGCTTTTGGCAGGACTGTATGACTATGAATATAAATATACGTTTATCTTACAGTTGTAATCTTTGAAAATATTGTTACACTAGCTTCAACTGGATGCCCTAAATGTAGAATAAATAATATAATTGATTTGTGGCTTGGTCCAATACTCACCTCAAGTGCTAGCTGAGCATTTTTAGTGCCAAATCGTATGTATTTCAAGTATGAGACTAAAAACCCAGAGCTGTTGAGCATAAGCAAAAAGCTGTTTTGGTTTCCAGAGTTCTTTGCCCACCATAACAAGCTTCATCAGCAGAAATCCCACCGCCCCACTCCCATAAAACCCCACTCTGTCTCAGACTTACTAAACAGAACTCTTCGAAGGATATCTTTCCGTCTCCGTCTCTGTCTGCGTTGATGATGGTTTTGTCCACGATCTGCTGCAGCTGCGTGTCCTTCAGGTTGCTGCCCACCATCATCTTCAGCACCTGGAAGAGCTCGCCGTTGGAGATGTAGCCGTCCTTGTCCATGTCGTAGATCCTGAAAGCGACTGTGAGCGCAGGGTGTGGCGTGAGGGAGGGGAGGAACAAATAAAGAGGGAGAGAAAAGAGAGTAAATCATTAACACAGCAACAGTTACCAAGCACCAAATGTAAGGAGGTATTGTCTCATTGTTCATTTGTTCTTTGCTCCATAGCTTCTCTTGATAACTGGACTTAAACTCCCACTGTACATTTTACATATTCAATTTAATATTTATTACATTTTCTTCACTTTTTAATGCTATTTTATTTATTTTTCTGAAATATTTTGGACTGTTTATTTCTAGTGTCTCAATTTCTCTTATGTACATTGCCTTGTTTTTTATGCTGCTGCAACGCAAACATTTCCCAAATCTATCCATCCATCCATCTATCCATCTATCTCTCTATCGGTCCATCTATCTCTCTGTCGGTCCATCTATCTATCCATCTATCTCTCTATCGGTCCATCTATCTCTCTGTCGGTCCATCTATCTATCCATCTATCTATCCATCTAAATATCTATCTATATATCTATCTATCTATCGGTCCATCTATCTATCTATCTATCAATCTATCAATCTATCAATCGGTCCATCTATCTATCAATCTATCTATCCATCCATCTATTTATCTATTTATTTATCTATCTATCCATCCATCCATCTATCTATTTATTTATCTATCCATCTATCCATCTATCCATCTATCCATCCATCCATCTATCTATCTATCTATCCATCTATCCATCTATTTATCTATCTATCCATCCATCTATTTATTTATCTATCTATCTATCCATCCATCCATCTATCTACCTATCCATCCATCTATCTATCCATCTATCTATCTATCTATCTATCCATCTATCTATCTATCCATCTATTTATTTATCCATCTATCTATCCATCTATCCATCTATCTATCCACCTATCTATCTATCTATCTATCCATCCATCCATCTATCTATCCATCTATCCATCTATCTATCTATCTATCCATCCATCCATCTATCTATACATCTATCTATCTATCTATCTATCTACTGTATCCCTCTCTCTTAATCGGTGAGAGTCAACTACCAGACTGACAGTGAGGTTTCAGACTCTGTTACAAGTTCAACGTATTACCCTTATTAGACATTGTCCCCCATGATAAACTTTGAGCAAGCCAAAACAACAACCCCTTGTTAAACAGGAGTCTAAAAGTGTTCCAAACCTGTTTGTTTAGAGAGGCGTGTCTAACTTTAAGCATGTTGAGACAGAACAGCAATGACAAGCTAATAGAAACCCTCAGTGGTGGACAGAAAAGTCATTTTCAAACACTGATCAACATTTTTTCCCAGAGGAGTTCATTTGTAATAGCAGTGGTGAGACACACAGAACAGAGACACACAGGGGACAAAGCCTTGGCTGCTTTGAGTCCCAAAGCAGTCAATCAGGCAGGTATATTTGGGGATAAGAGACTTTGAAACCGTAGTGCTACCATCAGCTTTAATTAAGAAACAGCTTTACTTACACCGGAGCTTCTGTTCTTTGTCCCCCTTCACGCTGAACTGTGAGACTCCCTCGATGAACTCTGGGAGAGGAAAGAGCAATCAGAGATGTGGGTATTAACAGTCTGATGATAACATTATGGCAGTATTATAATATATTGATAGTGGCTGTACAAGGCCTATGATAGAGTTAAGGCAGGGGTGTCCAAACTACGACCCGGGGGCCAAACAAGACCCCATTTTGCCCCCAGCTAATAAAAAAAGTATAATGAAATATGGCCCACAAATGAATCTTGTGCTTGTCATATATCGGACTTCTGAAATATATGTGTACAAATATATGACACAGTATTCATGTGTTAATAAGCCCACTTTTCAAATAAATTCAGTCAATTAAAGGTGGGGTAGGTAATTTTGGAGAAACCAGCTAGAATTTGAAAATACACAGCCAGAGGAAATCGGCTACTTCCTTACAGAGCCCCTCCTCCAACACACACGAACGCGCACATGACCAATGAGGGCACGAGATAAGTTTGTGCACAGATGGAAGGCTGACAGGCAGGTAGGCCATCCAGTTACTTTAGCCGGGCCGGCTCAGATGATTGGTCGTGCTTTTTACAGCGCTACGGCTTCCACACATGAGATATATTTTTATGGATTTTTTGTCAAAGCACTTAAGATATTCATTGCTATCGGGATGTTAAGAGCATTCCATGGAATATAACAAAAAGTGTATCTCGAGCCGGTTTCTCAAACTTACCTACCCCACCTTTAAAGTTGGAAACATTTTCAAACAAATGTTAGTTGATAAAAAAAAGCCCAATAACTTAATTACAGCTGCTTACTAGATAAATGAAACCCTATGGAAGCTGTGATGTAGGCTGTTGTGTTTCTTAAGCTGTTTAACCCCGAGCCTGTTTTTCAGGTCTCAGGCTCAAAAATGACATTCCCAGAACAAATGACAATATCTTCACTTCTAAAAGGC